AATGCACGAGACTTCTGAGCCTGTGGGTGCGGGCCGAGGGCTCCTGCAATTGCAAGTACGGTATTTCCCCTACAGACCACCAGGGCGGCCGAGAAAACCTTTGTTCGACCTGAAATGACTCATTTAATCATCCAAAACGTTATGGAACACATTAATTAACTGAAAAATGTTGCATAGTATGCCTTTAAGATGTTTTTACTATTGTTCCTTTTTTGAAATCTTGAAATCGAGGCTGATATTTTCTTCCTTTTGATACTGAAATGATTAAAATGTCTTCTGATAAATATAGAATACAGAATTTTTGGGAAACAATCCTGAAGTGTGCATTTCACCACTTAATATTGCAGCACCGTGTTTAACATCCCAAATGTGACACTCTTTTGGTGCTGTTGGACCCGACAGGTGTCTTACCCGCAGAGAGGTGATGGTGGAGGGGTCCCTGAAGCGCCCGTCCTCATCCTTCAGGTTGTAGCCTTCCGGACGCTTGTCCCGTTCGCTTATCTTCCACAGCTTCACGGTTTTGTCTGGAAAAAAACCACAGAGAAACAGATGAAGTTCAATCCGAGGCTCACAGCAGAGAATCTCCGTCTAACTTGTTTGGGGTGGAAGGGGGGGGTTGGGCAGCCAATCTGTCATGTCGCTGGGCAGCAGCCAGGGACGATGATGAACGGCGGCTCGTGTTCATTCTTATATCACCGATATCAATCTACCAGTTGACTTCATTTCATTGCCACACTATCCTGCACCCCCCCCTTAAAGAAGCCATCTGGGCACTTTTCAATCTTCCTTCCCATAAACACCAGTTACATCTCATCTTCTCGGTCTACTGAAGTGGATGGCAGCAGCAGTCAGGCTGCTTTTAATTTCCACTGTGTATATTGGTGTCAGAGCACGGAGGCCGTCACCACAGGACCCTCGACCATCTGCTCCAGCCACCGCCAGCGCTTCTATAGCAGCCATGCATGAAGCCAGCAATCTGCAAGACGTCTCAGTGTTTTCTACCAGTCTGTCTAAGCTAGTGTGGTGGAACATGCTGATATGTATGCATGTTCCTGCAGCAGCATCCATGCATGAAGCCCTTAATTTGAAACTCTTCTGCTGGTGGCGTCTGCTCAGCCGAGCGAAACAAACGCCACATATTAACACCTGAGTTTGAAGTCAAGTGGTACAGAACATCATTTCAGTGGTTTACGGAGGAATGATCGTAGAACGGCATCAGGAATTTGAAGAACTGACCGTTGGTGGAGAGCAGAAAGTACGCTGCGTTCTGCTGAGGGAGCCATTTGATCTTGTTGATCTTCTCCTCGATCTCCAAACTCTTCAGGTAGTCAAACTCGGGCTCGTGACTCTGGAATGTGCTGTAAACGTTGTACTCCCCTCGACGATGAGGTTGTGTTTTACTCTGTAAAAAAAAGAAAACAAAAAAAGAGGGCAGAAAGGTTGGTTCAGGTTAGTTTGAAAATTCTTGATTTGATTATTTTGGGGTGTTTTCAACAAATAATGATCCTTGAAGGAAAGAAGAACTTTTTTCTGCCTTGGATTTTGAATGAAAATGTGCGCTTGGATTAGATGAAAGGTTACCAAACATTTTAAGGCAACCAGAAACCAGACCTCGTATTAAAGCATTATGATAAAGACCCAGATGGAACCTAAGCCCATTCTCTATTAAAATATATTTTTTTTATTCATTTTGTAAAATCTTATTACAGTTTTAGTTAGAAGGTATTCATTTTGTTTAAATTTTTTCAAAGTCTATTTTTGAACTTTAGGAACCCCTGGATTAGATGGTGTCATAAGTAAGAATTCTAGCAACAAAAACTCCAAGAGGGTTTGAATAGATAAATAAGTGAAAAAAGGCTCTTTTTTCACGACTGTTTTGGAAGATCTGTGATGCAATTAGGGGTGGAACGGTTCACAAAATCCACGGTTCGGTTCGGTTCACGGTTTCGTGGTCACGGTTTTCGGTTCGGTTCTGTATATGTTGATTGTTACACCGAAATCCCATAAAAATTAATGAAAAAATCCCAAAAAATTAATGAATTGTAATTATTTTTAATGATCCGTGGAAACCCTGGATCATTTCCACATGTTTTGCTGCTTTGAATTTAATCCTCTGGCGCATGCCCTCTACCATCTCCAAGGAACTCAGAGCAGAGCGGACGGGAACCACAGTGGAGGCTGTAGGCTTTGCTTTGAGCAGCCGGTCTGGAGCGCAGCGGGGCGGAGCGCTGA